CTATCTATCTATCTATCTATCTATCTATCTATCTATCTATCTATCTATCTAATCTATCTACGTGCAGTACGCCTTCTCTTCCAGTAGGTGGCAGTAATCCACTATTGGCGACTCAACATTAAACAAAACGAAGAAGAAGAAGTATTTCCGGTGTTAACTTCCGCCGGCAGAAGCCGCGTGTTGTACAACAGACACCGGCCCGAAAACCTAACAAACGATCAAGGTATGAAACGTTGTGTTTTTAATCGATTTGTTGAATAAAATACATTTAATCGTTAGTTTTATTTCTTTATGACCAATAATAGTTTAAGCTGCGTGTTGATTTTAAACGAACCAAACGGGCTGCTTGACACCAGAGTCTCTTGACTTCAGTATTTATTTCCAATAAAGTTTCGGGTTTTTAACACTTAAAACAAACTTACTCTGGATAAAACAAACCGTTTTCTACCTTTATGTTGATAAATCACGACGTGTAGCGCAGAAACAGACCTGTTCAGACACTTGTTACTGAAACCTCGACATTAATGCAGAATTATTTTAGGGGTTATCAGAAGACGATATATGTTTGTCTCTTTTGAACCTAGCAGCTTTGAAACTAGACTGTAAGGGTTGATGCATCTCATTATCACTTAAGAAAACTACAAGAAGACAAAGTTTAAAGCCCAACTTTAGTGTAAAAACATTTAATTATCTTAATTTAATCTGTTTTTAGAGGCTTAATCAGTTTATTACATCATTTTTTAAAGGATTTGAAACATACAAAAACGTACACACAAGAGTTAATTAGTTTTCTTTTTATTTTAACCCTTCAAATCAACTTTGAGGCGGCTCTTATATACCTGCTGTTTCTCTTTTTATTGTCATCAATGAAAAAATTGATGTTTTTTTTTAAGCTTAGGGTTTTTTATCTTCACGTCCCGTTGACTGTCCTCGGATCAGATGGCGGAGGTCGTGCCGGAGAAAAGCGGTGGGTTAAAGTTTGCTGAGCGGCAGCTCCTCCGTCACGGCTGGGAACACGGTGAGATGCTTTGTTGCCAGATGAAGTCCGGATGAATCGTCCGGGTCCAGGTGTCTCACTCTGTCCTCCGTCTCTGCAGGTAAAGGACTCGGGCGAGCTGAGAACGGCATATCGGAGGCCATCAAGGTCAAAGTGAAATGTGACAAAGGAGGAGTGAGTAGCTGGTTTTATCTGCTTTTTAAACATGTTTCTGCTTTAAGAAAATGTTTCTGACGTTGTTGTTCTCCCTCAGGTTGGTCATAGAGAAGGAGAGCAGTTCAGCTTCCAGTGGTGGGATCATGTTTTTAACAAGGCCTCTGCCAGTCTGCAGGTGGAGACTCACCAGGTACGTCCACCTTTATCTTTACTTGTTTGTGTTCACACAGATCAGTCCTCCGGGGATGATGAGCTGATTTATATCAGAGTGAAGCTGAATCATTTATTTACGCACCGGCTGAATTATGGCTGAAAGAATGAACTTATTTACATTTTAAATAGTTTTAAAAGTAAAACTATGTTAAAGTTTGAACGGGTCCGTTCGTTGTTCAGTAAAACTGGATTTAGTTCAGTGAGTTTTTCCTGTTTTGTTCAGAATGGAATTAAATTAAAGAAGACGGCAGAAGGAGAAGAAGAAGACGGGACAATCTCCAACAAGAAACCACGGAAAGCCCTGCTGGCAAAAAGCAAACTTTATGGATGTTTTGTGAAGGTAGTGCTTATTTGTTCTGCTTGTTAAACATTAGATTAATATAATTATTTAATCTGTGGAGAGAAGCTCAAACAAATCCTCTCTGTGTTGCAGCCGAGCATGAATTAGTCTCAAACTGTTCTTTTTTTCTCTGATCAGTTGTTTGTTGGTTTAGCTTTAGAAGGGACTAAACTTTTTACTTTTCGTTGTGATGTGGGTGACGTGTTAATGTTTGACGACTTCCTCCTGTTTCAGTCGGCCACGCTGCTGTCGGGTCAAGAGCAGCCGGAACCCAAAGCGTCCGCTTCAGACGACAGCAGCAGCTCTGAGGAGGAAGAGGAGCAGAAACTGGATCTGTCCAGCACCACAAAGTAAGACCATCACCCTCAGTACAATAAAACTGTGTTCAGAATTTTGTACTTCACAAATTTTAAAATACAATTCACATTCCTGGACTTACGGGCGCTCAACCTTTGGTTCTTGACAGGCTCTCTGACTCTGATCTGATGAAGGCCTGCGGAGGACGAACGGCTCACAAGTAAGTCGACGTGATTCCTGAAACTGATGCAGATCAACTCCAAAACAGTGAATGAAGAGATTAAATAAACCGGCAGAGACCCTAAATGTTTGTCTTGTTTCAGGGGGGCGAGGCACGGACTGACCATGAGCGCCAAGTTAGCCCGACTGGAGCAGCAGGAGGCCGAGTTCATGGCCACGTACGGCAAGAAGAGCCCGCAGACCCGGCCTCCATCTGTTTGTGTTGCACCGACTCCTCCGACGGTTGGATCGGAGCCGACAGCGGAGCGCCGCAGAGAAAAGACGAAGAAGAAGAAATCCACAGAGAGATCCGTGGAGCTAGATGACGCGGAGGTGTGTGAAAGCCCCAAAACGGAGGTTCAACCAAAGGAGAAGAAGAAAAAGAAGAAAGATAAAAGCAAGGAGGAACTTCCTGCAGAGGGAGACAGAAACTGTGAAAGGAGGAGAAACATCACCGAGCAGAACGGAGCCGCAGCAGAAACTCAGGAGCTGAACTCTGACTTTAAACTGAAGAGGAGGAAGAAATCATCCAAAAATGACAAAACGGCCGAAGAGGAGGAGAGAAGAGAGGAAGAATCCATCCAATCAGAAGACAGAACACAGGAGGAGGAGGTTACCGTGACGACAGAGAAGAGGAAAAGAAAGAAAAGCAAAAAGGAGAAATTACTGACTGAGAAAAGAGACGAGGAGTTTCCACCAAAGAAGAAGAAGAAGAAATCCAAAGACTGACGAGAAAACGACCTTCTGGTTTTTACAGACTCAGTGATTTAACTTTTCCTCTGCAGATAAATTATTTATGTTCAGGTGAGTTAGATCCACTCAGAACATTTAGACCTTTTCAGTTTTTTAACTCCAGCCGACATTAAACATGCAACGATGAATTTGTCACCTAAACACAACTTTTTTCAGCTGATATTAGGTGTGTCTGTAAAAAACTGCATTTGAAATGAAATCCTGTGTTGGCTGATCTGAGGGCCACAATATGATTCAAAAAGTGTTTTGTGAAATCTGGAATAATGAAAAATGTTTTAATAAAACTGATGATCAGGAGACAATGACTGCTCACAAGTAAAAACACAAGCCTAGTTCCATTTGTTTTTTATTTACTCGTTAGAATTAAATTTGAATTTTACACAGAATGCGTCAAACTTCCCAACAAATTATCGATGTACATAATGTTTGGTCAAAGGAAGAAAACAGCCGTTAAAACTGCAACAAATCATTGTTCAGTAAAAGCAACTGAATTATTAAAGTTGGACAAAAAAGAATAGCCGGAACTTTTTCAATAAGTGAAGTAATAGTTTATGGAAATGTTACAAAGAAGATGCTGTGATACATGTTTGTGTTGTTTCCTTCTCTGGAGTCCTACTTGTGTGGGACTGGAGGTTTGTGTGATCCATGAACCACAAGATGGATTTTACGAAAACTCCCAGAAAATAATCACTGGGTGAACATTTGCAACTACAAACCGGATTCCAAAAAAGTTGGGACACTAAACAAATTGTGAATAAAAACTGAATGCAATGACGTGGAGATGGCAAATGTCAATATTTTATTTGTAATATAACATAGATGACAGATCAAAAGTTTAATCTGAGTAAATGTAACATTTTAAAGGAAAAATATGTTGATTCAAAATTTCACAGTGTCAACAAATCCCCAAAAAGTTGGGACAAGTAGCAATAAGTGGCTGGAAAAAGGAAAATGAGCATATAACGAACAGCTGGAAGACCAATTAACACTAATTAGGTCAACTGACAACATGATTGGGTATAAGAAGAGCTTCTCAGAGTGTCAGTGTCTCTCAGAAGCCAAGATGGTAAGAGGATCACCAATTCCACCATTGTTGCACAGAAAGATAGTGCAGCAATACCAGAATGGTGTTACCCAGCGTAAAATAGCAAAGACTTTTAAGTTATCATCATCAACTGTGCATAACATCATCAAAAGATTCAGAGAATCTGGAACAATCGCTGTGCGTAAGGGTCAAGGCTGTAAAACTCTACTGGATGCTCGTGATCTCCGGGACCTGAAACGTCACTGCACCTCAAACAGGAATGCCACTGTCAAGGAAATAACAGAATGGGCTCAGGAATACTTCCAGAAAGCATTGTCAGTGAACACAATCCACTGTGCCATCCGCCGTTGCCAGCTGAAACTCTACAGTGCAAAGAGGAAGCCATTTCTAAGCAAGCTCCGCAAGCTCAGACGTTTGCACTGGGCCAGGGGTCATTTAAAATGGAGTGTGGCAAAATGGAAGACTGTTCTGTGTTCAGATGAGTCACGATGTGAAGTTCTTTATGGAACACTGGGACGCCATGTCCTCCGGACCAGAGAGGACAAGGATAGCCCAAGTTGTTATCAATGCTCCATTCAGAAGCCAGCATCACTGATGGTATGGGGTTGCATGTGCGCTTGTGGCAGGGGCAGCTTGCATGTCTATATATATATATATATATATATATATATATATATATATATATATAT